AGAACATTATAAACTGCATTCACTGTATTTGCACCAGTACCACTTACAAGTTTTGACACACCAAGCAGTTTTACCTTACCATCTGCAGATACTAACACGGGCAAACGATCTACTTTTTCATTGCCCAAAATATCAGGAAGAATCTTCCCGTCCCAATGAACTATAACTGGATCGTCGAAAGTAACAGATTGCTTTATTTCCTTAAACACAGCCTTTCTGCCTTCTTTTCTTTTGCGTTGAATAGTGCTTCGAGATAATGGCAATGAGCTAGGGTCATGTCCCAATGCTGCTGCAATAGGGACCATTAATCTTAAGGCTTCCCTATCAGAAACCTTATTTCGATCTAAAGCGCTAGTGACATGTGTAGAAAATAAAGATTTCTTTGCAATTGGTTCAGTCTGTGAGTCTGTTTGGGATTTCCTTCTTTTTAGAGATGATAATGATGATGGCTTATACATCTCTTCTGATTTAAAACTGGCTGAATCAGAATGTTCTGGTGATTCATCTTCTGATTCTGAAATAGTCACGGTTGCAGGCATCATGGAAGACGAACCTGGCTCTATACCTTTTTCAAGCCTCTTTTGTTCTTTCATTTTTCTTTGAAGAATTCTTTCTTGTTTCTCGTTGTACTTTTTGTCTTCTGATGAAATAATCATTTTTCTTTCCTTCCTCTGATCAATTAAAAATTCTCTGTCTTCGTATACTTTGCACATAGTAAGTGCATCATTGTGAGCAATATCAAATACCATATCTAGCTGTTCTTGAAATAGTGTTTCACGTTTCTTTTGGGTATCAGAGATTCTTCCTTTATTTTTTTTTCAACAGAAGCCATTCAGAGTGGAATTTTTCAAGCTTCTCAATACAATGTTTGAAAAGTCTAATCGGGATAGCAGTCTTTTGCCACACTAAAATTAGTTCTTCTACAGTGCTATGACTTGCATTTCGAACAGATTTTTTTTCTTGTAGGAAAAAATGGAATCTAAGAAGAACTTGCCTTACAGTTTGTAACTGATTAAATCTAGATATTGGTTCTAAATCTTTGACACCTATCAAGAATATAGTGTTCGCTTGACGTGTTGCAGGTGATGACAAAACCATATTCAAAATTCAAAATAATCACTTGAATAAAGCAGTCCTCACAAACAGGGATGCCAGAAACTTAATTACAAAAATGACATAATTAACAATAATGAATAACGTCAAATTGACAATTTGCATTGTATCAATGTGTCATATTCGTAATTAAGGTGCATTCAAACAAAATTTAGGGGATTTTTTTGACAGATTCTGGCATCCCTGCTCTCAAACAACTATTGACAGTTCTAATTTTTTAAACTTTTTTATACAATTTTCTTGACATTTCTTTCACAAAAACAGCACCTGGAAATAAATAAATAAATATTTATAAAATAAGAAATAACAAAAAATTTAAAACTTTGGAGACGTTGAGCATAGCCTTCTACTCCACCTAGGACATTGAAATTTTGGCACTTTACTACTATCAACTAAAGTAAAAAACTTAGCGGGTGCCCTGAGGTGTAGGGTAAATTAAAAATTATTAAACAATTAATTGAATTCAATGTAATAGCAAAAATTCATTTCTACTTAAATCATGTAGCTAGGTATTGTCAAACTATTACTGCTTCTAAAAGCAATAATAATTATGTACATTTAATGTAATCTTTAGCTAATAAATAAATGAGATTCTAAAAAAGTGAGGTTAGGCGGCTTTGATGTTGAATTAAATTGACCTATATAAAGTGCTTTGAAGATAAAATGTTGTATGCCATTCAGCCAAGAAGTGCCTTTTTGTGCTTCGCTCAATTGTAGGCCTCCGCTACGCGTCGGCCTTCAAAGCTTGAGCTTAACACAAAAAGCCTTACTTCTTAACCTAATGACATAAATAACTATTAAACTATAAGTAAAATCTATTTTATTGTGCCTGTAAGAAAAGTTCATTGTATTGCATTTATTAATATTAAGTAGAACGTTATTTTTATCTGACCATCTAAAAATTGAATTTAGATCCATTTGTAATTTGTTACAATCAGACATTTTAGAAATATTTAAAAAAATCTTGGCATCATCCGCAAAGAGTCGTATCTCAGAATATTTTATCACAGATATCATTTATAAACAAAATAAAAATTAATGGTCCCAAATTTGAACCCTGAGGTACACCTGAAGTAGAATTGTAGGATGATGAAATATGGCCGTTATAAAAAACCCTTTGTTTACGATCATGCAAATACGAAGATATGAACTCACAAAAATTATCGGTAAATCCATAAAAAGCTTTAAGTTTATACAATATAATTCTGTGGTTAACCTTATCAAATGGAAATCTGTGTATACAACATCAACCTGAACGTTATTAGACAACGAGTCATGTATGTATTTAATAAAATCAAGTAAATTACTAGTTGTTGATCTTTTACCAACAAAGCCATGTTGATGTTGAGACAACATATTTCCAACATTACTATATATATTTATAAACAATTGACTTAAATATTTTACTTACACAAGACAATGCAGAAATTGGGCGATAATTTATACCATTTGTTTTATCACCAGACTTAAACAGTGGAGACACCTTTGCATTTTTTTTAACTTTTGGAAACTTGATTTTAATGATAAGTTAAACAAATAACACAGAGGATTCACAAACACATCACTGCATCCTTTAATTATATACGCTGGAACACTATCTTCACCTGGTGCTGCTCGTGGTTTAAGTTTCTTTATTGCTGCCAAAACATCAATGTTATGTATTTTCTTCAACTCAATAGTACTAATATTACTTGGTTCATCATGTCGAAAGTAGTCATAATCTTGTAACGAACGGGGCAAGGGGGGCACACATTAATAATTTAAAAGAATATTAAAACCACAAAAAAACTACCTTTGGCCAAAACACGTGATCGTCTAGTTTAAAGAAATTAAGTTAGGACCCCTTTTGTTGTGAATACGGTTCTGGATACGTAAGTACTTGAGCAATTAAAAATATATTTAAAAAGCAAAGAAAAAGTATTAAATTAAAATAAGTTTATTAATAAAAACAATTAATACAAGAGTTAATATTATTGCTACTGTACATTAATAATATAAATAAAAACATTTGAATTTGAAAAGTATCATTGATTTAAGTTAATAAGGTAAAACCTTAAAACCCACATATACAATACAGACATGCATATGTGTCGCACATCTCAACAATATAAATAATACAACAAAATCAAACTAATCAATATAAATATAATCAATTATATTATCATATTGCTAAGATTAGTCACCTACACAAATGGTAGGCTCGGATGGTGTAGAAAGCATATTGAATACACATTGAAAACAATTACAATGTACAGCAACAAACAACAATAATGTGAAACATAAAGTATAATATAACTTCAGGGCCGGATTAAGAGTTTTGAGGCCCTGGGGTCGACATTTGGTGGGGGCCCTGAATATTTCTAAAAATTTTGACACTTTAAAACTCATGGTAAATTTTTAAGCTAGAGGAACTTTACGAGATTTTTTATTATCCTTGAATCATTTATTATTTAATAAACCATATAAATTTTTAATAAAATCGGCCAAAGCGTATATCGATAATAAAGCATTTTCGGACACGTGTTTATAGGAACTTTTTTTCATATTTTGATGAGAGGAATTTTGAATAATAAGAACATAACCTTACATATATTTTACTCAAGTAAAATATAAATTGATCTATGTTTTGTTTGGATTTTTAAAACTGAAACCCAATTTTTTGTTTTTTCCCCAATTTTTTTCATATTTGTTTCATTAAAAAGCTACATATTGCATTGGTGGCTGGGGCCGTGGCCCCGCTGCAGCGCGCTGGCCCTATGCTAAATCCGGCCCTGTATAACTTAGGTCACAAACAATAACAATAAGTGGTTGTGGTAAATAAAATATATAAATCACAAGTGGTGGACAAGAGTTATGCAATAAAATTGATGTACAGTCATAAATGATAAATAAAATCAGGTATGATAAAGTAATAAAATTATGTAAGTGCAAATCAAATATAGTAAAATAAAATGATTATCAATAATAATAAAATAAGACAAGGTCACAAAAACTCACATCATGGGCCCTACCTAGCATTTATTGTAAAGATGGGTGAATTGATAATTGGACCCCGTTTTGCAACAAAGAACCAAACAACATATTTGCAGTTACGAGAAAATAAGGGAAAACGTTTCAGACTTTTGATTAAAAAATTTATTTATAAAAACACTTTTAAACTGAACAAACGCTATCATATTTTACTATATATGAACAGAACAATAATTTTAAAGAACAAAAACACTTAAAAATATATTCCAAGTATGGAAAAAATACCTGGTTCCCTATTTCTTAATTGAAAATTTAACAAACATCACTTGGGTCCGCAACCAAGTTACAATAAAAATAAAAAAACTTACGTATGTCAAAAAATAAAAGTTTTACTCTAAGAAAAACACTTGGTTCTATATTGCGGAACAGGAAAAAATATATTATGGGTCAAAGTCAAAGTCTAACTCGCCATTATAACCGTCTATGTCTTCCTCTATTGAAGGGTCTCCTATTAGACTAGTATAAAAATTATGATCAGCCCCAGGAATAAGATGCAAATAACTGCGTATGTCATTTAGTTTTGACTGAGCCACTGGTTTCCCGTTTGGCCATAGCGATTCCAGTAACTGAGAAAACTGTACGTCTGAATTCTTTGATTTTTTTCTCTTCCTTATATTTATTTCTTTATATTCAGTCTCATTAACATAGTCCGTTTTTATAAAGATACTAAATTTTTTTTCTCTTATAAGTTTTATTTCTTTTATATGGAGCCAATTAACTTTTTCACGTTCACAACTTTTCTTTCTGTTAACAATTACTTTTTGTAATGCCCTGGTGCTAACGAAATCATCTTTTTATATTTCATGAACGTCAATGGGTCGCTTCTTTCTACATGTTTTCATGATGTTTATGTAATCTTAAGGGCAAAATACTTTATTTTGTCTCTTAATCGCGCATTCTACGTCACCGAAGTCGCTATCGTTTGGTAGGAAACTATGACCAGACACGAGAAACCTTAATCTAATACTTTTTAAATGTACCGAATCCTCAAGAATACTTTTTAGCAAGAGAACCATTTTTATATTGCCATTCTGGCCATCGCAGGAATCGCTCCAGAGGATGATGGTTTCCACAGATTCGGATACAGCACTAGATAAAATATATTTCTTTAAACAGAAACCCACTTCTTGAACTCCACGTCCCGCTTCCCCTTCGATCGAAACATTAAAAGTGGATTTTTTTGCTTTTCTGCACAAATCCCGCAATTTTAGAGCCATAACTGTATTTTGTAAAATATGATATTAGTAGTTATCGTCAGTGTCTGCTTTAGAAAGATCTAAATTCATTTTTTTCTGGCTGTATCTGCTTCTTCCAAGTGTAAATTCTTTTCATTTTCGATTCTAACTTTTCCATCTCCTTCAGGTAAACTTTCCATTTTTGTGCTAAAAGCATCACATTTATTGCAAGTATCTTTTTTTGTTTTTTTCTGTCTTAAATTAAATTCCGTTCAAAATATTTTTTTATATGTAGAGAAGCTTACTGAAATATTTAAATTTTCAATCTTGTAAAGGTTGTCATGACTGGCAATGTTGTTCCTTCTTTCAAAAACTCTTGGTCTAGTCTTTTGACCCTACAATAATGCGATTTGAATCGGGGGAATTTGTTTATGTGGGAGACTACAGAAGCTTTTTGTTCATTTGACATTTTATTGTGTTCTCCGCTAATACCACGCCTATCTAATACTGTCAAAGTTCTTACTTTTTGAAGAGCAGTGTTTATACGTTTAGTTGAAATACGTAAAATGTTAATGAACAAGTCTCTGCAAACGGCTACTTTCTTTACAAAGTACTGTCTTGAAAACTGTCTCTTATTGGGATCCCTTGCACTCACTATTTTCCTTTGTACCGGTTCACAGTGGTCGGAAATCCCAAAAAGCTGGCCAAAACTCGAAAAGGTAGTAATTTTGCGTGGAATTTTCTTATACAAGGGTTTTTGGGGTCGCTGATTACGAATTTTATGTTAGTTTTTAAAAAACAAAATGGCGGATACAAAATGGCGGAGTTGTTTAATGACTTTTGATTTTTTTTCAAACGAAAATAATAGTTCGGGGGTTTTTTCGGTCGCTGATTACGAATCTGATGTTAGTTTAAAACAAAACAAAATGGCGGATACAAAATGGCGGAATGATTTCATTTCAGCAAAAATACTAATTTGGGGGTTCTCGTAATTGCTGATTACGAATTTAATATTAGTTTTTTAAACAACAAAATGGCGGATACCAAATGGCGGAGTTGTTTCATGATTTTTATTGAACAAAAAAGTAGGTCAGGGGTTTTTTGGGGGTTTAAAGGGTTTCTTGGAAAAACAAATCATGAAAGAAAAGCGGCTTTCATACGGTATCAATGAAACAAATTTTATTAACATTAATAAATAAAATAAAATAAAAACCCATCTTCATGTTTAAATTGAAAACTGAAAGTAAATCATGAATACATTTTGAAAAAATCGTTAATACATTCGTTCAAGATTTTAATAAAGGACTTAAAAATGACCCGAACATGCATTGAAAATCGTCACCATTGATGAGGATCAAATGATATTTAAAATGAACACCCAGTATATAATATTTCGATAAAGAAACCACCGGTTCTCTATTGTTACGTCCAGCGAGCTCCGTTTTTCGACGCTCGCAAGCTTTACTTCCTCCTGCGCTATTGCAATAAATAATTTTTTTCACTAAAAGGTGGACAAAGGTGGAAGTTACGTCTGCGTCATTTAATTGTTTATACTTTTTTACACATGAAACAGTTTGCAACTGTTCCGGATCTCGCCGGATCACTACTATTTCGTTACATTTATTCATGCTCCGTATGGAAATACAGAAATTTAAACATGTCAAATTTAAAGGTTTTGCCGCAAATTAATAAAATTAAAAAACTCATGATGAAACATTTGTAAATAATGTACATACCTTCAGGAACATCTTTTCCGATCTCTTCACAACACTTTTACACGTTAAAATTCCGTTTCTTGCCGCGAGGCATAAAAGTGAATAAACGCCAGAGTGACAGGTGTTCGTTAAAAGGGCGAACTTTGAAAGAAAACCTACAGTCTAAAAGGCGATCTTATGCTCTGTCCCTTTGGATTTTACTACACTAACACCATCTATTCGAGATTTTGTTAAGATTTACCCTGAAAGGTAAATTTTGATTTTTGGGTTTTGGCCAGCTTTTTGGGATTTCTAACCACTGTGCGGTTGTTCTCTTACGCATGTTGACAGATATGTAGTCTGCACATTATAGTCAGCCAAATTCCAAAAATGATTAAAAAAATTTCGTGGGAAATTCGCAAAAGGGAACCAACACATCTCAGAATTAGCAAAAGGGAACCAAGTAACTTTGGATCTTTATAGTAAATTACAATCGAAATAGTTTTGGTTATGCAAGTAAGTTCTATCGTCCGCCAAATGGCGCTAGACCGCCAGATCTTTGGATCGCTATTGCAAATCGGGGGAAGACAATATTTGACTATGTATAATGCAATTAACTCGTTTTTTCGTAAATTGTCGGTTGGTTCCTTATTGCATAACGAGGTCCAATTATAAGTCTCCAGGCTCGACCCCTTCGACCGTTAACAACACCGTTAAACAATAAAAGAAAATTCTAACAAGTGTTTGGTGTGGCGAAATTGCAACAAAGCCTCAACATATTAAATAATGAATATCAATTTATCAAATAAATAAAATAAGATAAACTGTACAAAATAAAGTATATAAATGTTAAATATAAATATGCACTGAAAGAAATATATACTAAAGTTAAATAAAAAAATAATTAGGGCAAATATATTTTATGTTTCATATATGGACTACCACATACATTGCTAAAACAAATATATTCGTTTGGTTAGCAGCCTATTGCTGCCCTAGCAATATAAATGGTGTTTCTAGCAATATTTTTTTGCTGTAATTCACTTATAGTTTACATTTTATAGTAAGGGTAAGTTTATTTTTATTTAGATCTAACATATCTTCTTTACAATAAATGTATTACAAAATTTAACATACATTCATAATAAACAGTAGTATAAATGTGTAAAGCACTAGTATAAAATTTTTAGTATAAATTTGTATTTACTTTTAGCAACAAATTTCTTTCAGTGTGTAGTAAAATGTAAAATTACATTACAATATAATATATTAAAGTAAATTTAATATAAATATAATAATTATAAACATAAAATAATGATTATAATATATTTGTAATTTGGTTTGTCCACAACAACCATTAAGATAAAAACAATTCAGCTTATTTCTTCTCTCACAAAGAACAAGTTGAAATAATAATAATAATAATATATATTTATTAGCATTGCTATAAAAATACAAAGTTGTATAAAGTATAAGTACAGAAAACAAGTTACAGATAAGTAGGTAGGTACATGTGTATAGTTAAAAATAATAAAAATAATAATTTAATACAATCATATACATATATATAGTTACAGGTAACATTAGAACATTTCGGCTATATGTTGCTTTAAAAGGATTTTAAATGTATAATATTTATCACAGTTTTTTATTGCATTCGGCAACTCATTAAATAAAATTAAACCATTTTTAAAAATATGTTTGTTTGATCTATGTTTATTGCTTTTTATTACATAAAAATCGTTATTGGTTCGGATCCTGGTTTCATGATCATGTACGTTCTCTACATACTGAACATTTTCATTTAAATAGTTCGGGACCATATTGTGTCGTATTTTAAAGACAAGAATTAAAATTCTAAAAATTAGGGTTTGTTTAATGTTTAGTATTCCCATTGTATCCAACATTATTTTGATGGGAGTATACCTGTTACATTTCATTACCGCTCTCATGGCACGGTTTTGCATTTTTTGTATTTTTGACAACTCATTTTGGTTGAGATTATATAATATTGACGAACAAAAGTTTATATGTGGAACAAAGAGTGAGTTGTATAATAATTTTCTGACATACGGACTTAACATATACATACGATTTAAAAAATATATTTTTTTGGACAATTTACGTAAAATAAAATCACAATGACTCTTAAAACTAAGGTTTTCATCTAAAATCACTCCTAAGTATTTAATTTGGTTTAATCTTTCTAGCTCCACGCCATTAATATGAATGTACGTATTAATAATAGTTTGAGTTTGTTGCCTATTACCAATAATTAAATATTTAGATTTGTTAATATTTACACTTAAGCTATTATCACAGAGCCATTCATTAATAGATTGCAGATCTTCATTAATTTTTTTCAACATACTCTCTAAATCTTTTCCACTTACATATAACATCATATCGTCTGCAAAAAGACACAGTTCACAGTTTTTTACATAATTTACAAGATCATTCACATATAATAAAAATAGTAGAGGACCCAGGACAGTTCCTTGAGGGACACCATGCACCGTTCTTAAAACACAGGAGAAACTATTATTATATTTGACTTTTTGTTGTCTGTCTCTAAGATATGATGAAAACCATTCTAACACCTTGTTATTAAAACCCATTTTTTTTAATTTACATACTAAAAGTTCTCGGTTGAGAGTTTCAAAAGCTCTACGCAGATCCAAAAACACAGCAACACTTATTTCGTTATTGTCCATAGCACTTAACCATTTATCGCATATTTTTATTATTACGGTCTCGCATGAATGTTGCTCTCGAAATCCAGATTGTTTTTCAGTTATTATGTTATTTTTCGAACAGAAGTTTAGAACTTGGTCTTTTACTATTGTTTCCAAGACTTTTTCGTAAATAGGCACTGTGTTAATTGGTCTGAATTCACTACACTTTTTTGTGTTACACACTTTTGGTACTGGAGTTATAGTTGATACTTTCCATTCTTCGGGAAACACCCCGCTATTTAAAGATGCATTAATTATATTTAGCATTCTATCCGCTGTGACCTCTATTGAGTCCTTAAATATGTTTGTGTTTATACCGTTTTCTCCTCCTCCAACTTTTTTTAATGATTTAACACACTTTTTTAAAGTGTTTATGTCAACAGTTTTAAATTCTGTCCATATATTTTTAGTTTTGATGTTTTTTATGATATAGTCTTTACTATTTAATATGTTTATGTTGTTAACAATTTCATTTATGCTGTCAACAAAGAATGAATTAAAGTTTTCGGCTATTTCTTGTTCATTCAAAATAACATTATGTCCAAACTCAATTTTATTTTCAGGGGTTCGATTTACGGTGTTTCCAGGCAACATCTCTTTTAAACTTTTCCAT